TTTGGCAAAAAAAAAGAGGTGTATCAAGATTTGATTTTCTCTTATTTCTTTTTTTGTTTGTTTTGGTGGTCACCACTGGAACTACAGTGTTTGAAATAGCTAATACCATTATTTTACACAGGTAGTAAAATTGTACTTAAAGAAAAAAAATCAGCAGGATTTTTCCCCAAATCACAAATAATACAAAATAGAATTTGGATAGTATCAGAAGCTACCAAGTGTAATTTGTCTCTAAATTTTCTGTTCAATTTAACAATCAACATTTCAAAAATTGACATCAAGTCAATTTAAGTATAAAATGATGGAAGGGTATAATCAAATCTAATATACTGGTTGTAAACAATAGTCCTTTGTAATTCTCTGGAAACAATTTTTTGCATATTTATACTTTCCCCAATGACTCTGTATAGGAGTGACAGCTGCAGTGTAGGGAAACCACTCATATTCACAAAATAAAAAGCAATCCTACTGAATTTGCTAAGGCTTACACATGAGATGTTATTTTAATCATAGTGTAAAATTGCATAGATTATGTTTTACATCCTGGGAAGCTACTATATAGATTATCTTCCATTAAAGGAATCAAAGTTTCAATTCTCCATTTGTATTTCAGTTTGAAATGAATACTTTTTTAAAAAAAAATCCCCCCCTTTTTTTTTGCTGTGCTGCTGATGCACAACTCCCTTTTTCACTACCATCCAATTTGATGGACCATGCAAGGTAACTATTCTATGGGAAAATGAAGAATTTGTGAAGACAATGAAGAAATAAAACCAGGCATTCCCCCAGAACAAAAGATCTTACTGGCACTCATGACCAAGATACAAGCTGACATTACCTAAAGTATACTCCCAGGAATCATTCAGTAATGACTGAATTGGTTAGTGGGAAATATAAAGAAATAAAAACAGTTATCAACTTAAAGGAACAAGACTTTGGTATTACAATAATTTTTTTAAGTACTTCAATTTTGTTTTTAAATATGTCACCTGGGAGACTGACACATTGGTGATTTTGATAAAGAGTTTTCCCCCAAGTGTGATATTGTTCAGAATAAGATATTCAGTATACTGGTATCATATGACATTAATATAGTTCTCCCAATATTGCTTTAACAGAATATCGTACTGTCATTTGGACATACCTAAAGAAGTAACTGATACTATGAAAAATTCTCAGCTGATATGCAACTGAGTATTAGTATTAGTATTAGTATGCAACTTAGTATTCAACTTAGGTTTAATGATGTAGTTTGCTATCTGAATTTATATACAGGATAACAATTTCTTTTTTCAAATATTAAAGTTTTGTGACAAGGCTTCCAGCTCCCCACAGACAATAACAGATACCTAAATTCCAATTTCCTCATGGATCTTCCTAAAAACCATAGAGATCAATAAATGAGACAAGTAAAAATATCCATAAACTATGCCTAAAGAGTAATTAGAGACAGAGACATTACACACTTTAATTTACATATAGGCAGGGAAATAAATTCCTAAGACCAGCAGAATTAGTTCAGGAAAGCACACTGCAATAGAGTTGGGCCAAAACTTAGTGAAGAAAAGGGGAGTACAAAGGTCTCCTCAGAGGCATGGAACACATGTCAAATACGGTTTATCCACAGATGAAGAGGACTCCACACTATGTAAGAAATACTGACAGCAGATGTGTGACCTAAATGGTCAGAGCACTGGTTACTAAAGAAACTACAGAAAGTGACTTGAAAGTGCACAAGACCTCAGTTAGCAGTCTTGGAAAAACATGACTTCTTTGGAGGGGGGTGGAGACTAGTGCTGAGGATTGATTCTATTTTACTAGAAATTTAAGATCAAAACAAAAGTGTGATGTATGTGAATATCACAGCCTCTGACAAGCTAGAAATAGTGCAACAAAACAAAATGAGAGGAGAAGGAAATATAGAATAAGCTCATCAAGTACCTTGTTGGTAAAAATTGGAATCAAGTAATATAATTTAAATTGACAAACGGAATGATAGAGGACCATTCTTAGGAGTGCAAAGATAAGAATTAGAACAGATATTATTAACTAAAATTGCATGGTGGAAAGGGGAGGAAAAGAATTATAGGCTAATTTTATTGTTGTTCATAGTAAGAAATCAAAATACAGTGTCTGAGGAAAAAGAGGAAAGATTAAGGACATTATATAAAATTTTCTTATAAAGCCTGCTACTAGAAAAAAATACAAATATTTTCAAATACCAAAATAAAAGCAAAAACAGGATAAAACAAACCCCAAACCACACAGTTAAACTTTTTAAAAAAAGCAAAGAGAACATAACATAATGACATGTTTTAAGAGAGTATATTTAACATAGAATATGTTAGTACTAAGAAAAACCATAGTAGTTATAACAGTAAATATAAGTACCTATTACAATTATAAATTAAAAGAGAAGTATTATTTTTTCTTATAAGAAACAAAGGAAAACCTAACTCCAGAAATACAAAAAAAGCACAACCAAAACAAAGACTAAAAAGTGGTTTAAATATGTAACAAGGAAATAGAACCGAGAAAATCTTAAAAAAATCATAAAAGATTACTTTACATAATACTATTAAAATAAATTTTTAAAATCTACATAAAATTCTTGAGAAAAAACACTTGCAAAACTGATACTAGTTGAGATGGACAACTTGAATAGTCCAATCTCAGGAGAAAAAAGAAAGAAATTTGTCAAAAAGCTACTCCACAAATAAGTATCAGACCTGGATGATTTCACAGGAAAATCATACTTAACTTTTAAAGTTTAGATAATCCCCGAACTATTTGATAGTTCTTTAGCATAGAAAATAGAAAAGAATTTCCAAATTATTTTCTGAAGGAATTATAACACTGGTATTAATAGCTGATGAAATTGCACATATACACACACACGCACACAAATTACAGGTCAGTCTCCCTAATGAATACTGCTGTAAAAATCCTAAATTAATTTTAGATAAAGAGAATCCAACAGCATAATACAAAGTGAAATACATCATAATCATATGTGAACTCCTTTCAGAGATGTTAGTAACCCCATTAATAAAATGTATCATAAAAATAAACGCAATAGAACACTCATTTCCACAGGTGCTGAAAAGGCAATTTACGAATTTTAACACCATTCTTAATAAATATAAGTTAATGAAAAGCCTTAAAAGTATAAAAGACATACAACTCAACCCAAATGCTATCATTTGAATTAATGAAAAACATTTGCCATCCATACAAAAACCAGGAACAAGGCATGCTGTTTAACATCAATTTCTTTTGAATAATATGTTGGAGGTAATAGCTAGCACAATAAAACAAGAGAAAACTATTAGATATATCAGAATTGGAAAGGAAAATGTAAAACAGTCTCTACTTGAAAAATTCATGAGAGTCAACTGGAAACTAAAGTAACTCACTAAGATAGTAGGATATAAAATTAACATATTCAGAAAAAAATCACTAGCCTTAAAAATGATCAGAAGATATAATGAAAGAGATGATCCTATTTATAATCTCAGCAATAACAAAAAGTTAAATGCTAAGTAGCAAACTAAAGAGTAAGAAAAAATTGTGAACACTCCTGAAAGACACAAAAACTAAACTTAAAAGTGAAAATACATATAATATTCTTGTATAGAATGACTCAACATCATAAAGATGTTAATATTCCTCAAACTAATTTATAAAATTAATGCAAATTCAGTAAAAAAACAAAATAATTTTTTCCTTATCTCAACAAGTTGTTTCTAGAGTTCATATAGAATGTTTAGCAAGAAATAACCTCAAACCCCTGAAAATTAATGTCAAAGGGAGCACGTCATATCAGAGATTAATTGTATATTTAAAACAGTGTGATTCTGAATGATAAATAAGCCAATGAAACAGAACAGAAAGTCCAGAAATGTAGTCAAGCACATAAGGAAGTTTGGTATGTGATAATGGTGGCATCCCAAATTATTGCTGAAAAGATAGACTTTCTAACAAATGATGTTAGAACAACTGGAGAGCCATTGATAAAATGATAAATTAAATATATACCTTGCTAAGCCAAGGTGTTTACACACACACACACACACACACACACATATAAACCAATATAAACAAAGCTAAACTTAAAATGTATCAGAGATTCTAAAGCTGTACAAGTTCTAAGAAAAGAATTTTTACAACCTTGGAATGGTAAAAGCTTTGCTAATAGTGACTCAAAAATTCAAACTCAACAAAGAAAAGCTTGATAAATTTAGCTGCACTATAAACAAATAAACAACAGCAACAACAAAATCTTTGCATGACAAAAATCAGGAAAAAGACAAAAAATATTTGCTGGGAAGAGATGTGCCACTTATTTTACCATTTGAAAAAAAAAAGACAAAAAAATGTATACAAGAAATGGACAGTTGACAGAAAAAGAAATATCCTAATGCTTAAATATCTGAACCAACATTCATAATGTAAACCTCATTACAAAAGAAATGTAAACTAAAACTGATTGAGGTACTACTTTTCACCTATCATAATGATAGATACCGAGAAGACTGACTCATTCTGTTAGCATGGCTTTGGGGAAAAGATCTAATACATTACTGGTGGTAGTGTAAAATGGTTCAAACCCTAGGGAGGGGAGTTTAGTAGTATCTAAAAAAATTGCATATGCATTTACCCTTTGACCCAGGAATCCCACTTATAAACTCTTACCTTGAAAATAATTTTCCAAAAATATACATACATATACTCAATTCATTCTGGCATTGTTTGTAATGGCCAAAATTTGGAAATAACCTAAATGTCCATTAGTAGGGGACTGGTTGAATTAACAATGGTATAACCAAGTCAAATGGCTGCAAAAGCAACTGATCAATTCTGTAAGGCACCAAAGGGTAAAGGCAGCTATGGCTTAATGCAAACATATTTTGAAAACTCACTCAAATGAAGAATGTATTAAAATTACTAGTAGCAGTAATATCAGTAGCAGAATTATGTACATGTTGCCTTTTACTTACGGTTTACAGTTTTGACTGGTAATATTGGGTTTACCCTCTCTGGGGAGGCAGCGTTTTCCTCATCTGTCACATATTCAAAATTAATGATGAACATCATAGCCACGCCCTCTTGGTTTTTCACTGGAATTATGTGAGTGTTACAAATGAAAGTGGACCCTAAGGAGATGAAAAATGAGTGTTAGGTCAAAAATATGCCTTCATTTTGAAGTGTTAGTAATATTAAAATTCTAATAAACCTTTAGAATTTTTTATCATAAATGATTTAAAATTTAACAAAAATAATTTGACTTTTATTTCATATTTCATTGCACATATATTTACATGAAAATACAAATTTTGCCATAAAGACCTTACAGGCAAATTCAGGTACAACCTTATGGAAAAACAGAGTATCAAAATCTCATTTGTCTTCACACCTACCACCATAATAGTTAATATAGGGAAAAAAGCATATTCTTTAACTTTGTAGAAAAACTCAAGTTTCTTGTATATATTTTGATTAATTCTGAATCTATATAAAATATAGCTGTATAAACAGTAAAGATAACTTTGTGTTATCTTGATTTTAGTGCTAAGTAAATTATTTCCTTTTTCTCTTTTAATTTCCTAGATGTAAAATGATAAGTTATTGACTCTGTATATGTTCCAATAATTCTTTTCTTTTTTCCTGCAAAATTCACAATGCCCAAATTATAATGATTTTATTTGGTTTGTAATCTGTTAGAAAACAAGAACAAAAATTTGTCTGTATTATTGTGTTAATTTGATTCCTTAACCAAAAAGATGATATTCTTTTTAAAGCACAATTATGAGGCTAATAAGATATATTTTATTAGAATCTTCTGGAAATGAGATGAACAAAAGGATTGACTCAGTTTACAATTAACTACTGCCATCCATCCTCTAACAGAAAATCCAAGATCCAAGATTTAGAGAATTTTGTGAAGATGTTGATTTCTTTTGAATCAATTGACTTTTGACTGACTTTTTGAACCTGACTTCTAAAACTAAGTATTTCCTTAAAGCAGCTTACTCACATCTTTATCCTCTGGATATTTCTTTTTTGAGTCATGGTGATGGAAACCTCAGGTTAGGGATTTGTTTGGGTTCAAAAGTATTATATTTTTAAAATGTAAACCTTCAGGAAAAGTTCTGAAGTAGTCAGACAAATAGAGCATTTTTTGACTTTTTTTTTTAACTAGCTGGAACCATCTTGAGTCTTGAGGAGAATGATGGTTCAGTGCAGAGGGAGGAGCAGGTTGGGAGCAAGCTGGACCTGGGTACAGAGGGAGATGTGAGAAAGTGAGAGACCAAGAGTTGGAGGCCAGGGGCACTGGCAAATAACAGAAGAACGTAATTGGAAGCCCAACATCCCTAAGACGAGCGGATACTAGTATTCCAAAATGGTGTCCTCTGCATGCCATAACTATTAAAAACAAAATAAACGTGAGAAAATTCTTTCCTCTTTTCTCATCCCTGAAACATGGCTCCTATTGCCAGAGCTGAGAACAAAGGCTATTGCTAATATTGCTATAGATTGGGACATCACAGGTGCAAGAGCTTTTGAGGGTGGGCCTAGAGATCTACTTATTTATGAAATTGTTTCTATGGGTGAACATGTTCTAATTTCCAAGGAACTGATTTGCAAAAACACTTTTAGAACTTGGACTCCTTTAAGTTGGGGATGGCTTTGTGCTAGTCATGATTCAGATCTTTAAATGTCAATAGCTTCCCAGATTTGAAATGTAGAAGACTTTATTTATAATTAATCTCATATTTTCTATAAAATCGGCCATGGTTTTACAGATGTTATGAAAAATATGTCTTAAGAATGACATGCTGCACCTTCACAGTCTTCAGCTCTATCTTCAACTCATTTAATAAAATAGTTAGTTAGAGCACTTGTCATAGTTTCCATGGTAACAAACGGGATGATTTTAGTAAACAGAAAATAAGCAATTTAAGACTGTTCTATTAGAACTAAAAATAGAATTGCTTCAGGCCAGGCATCACAATACAAACTGGCTAAACAGAGAGACTGAGAAAATGCTAGAAATAGCCATTGTGTATTCTGTTAATGAACCAAAATACATACTGATATTTCCGCTTAAAATGACATTTCTTGGATCATTTAGGGTATCATTGTGAATTCACAGATTTGTTACTTAGCAGTTTCAAATCTTCCAACAATTGAAGTGTATTGCTAATTGTACCACAAGACATAAAGCACAGATTTTTAAGAAATCAATAAATAAAAGATGTGGGAATAGAGATCTAATAGGCTGGTAATAGAGCACAGTAATTTCACTTCCAGTAATAGGGGCAAAATCACGTATTGCCATACTAATGTTTGTAAGTTTATTGGCTAGTGTTAAAAATCATAAAACTATAGTGCTTTGTAAAAAAGTTCAGTTACACGCATTGGTTCCATAGCATATTGAATATGTGTAATTAATCTGGGATTTACTGCCCACTAGCATTGTTTCCTGCATGTTTCTCTTAAGCAATATATCTCCTCTAAAGTCAACTGAAAATTCACATTTACATTTTTTTCTCTTTTAGTTTTTGGATTCAATGTCTCCATCAATCTTGCAAAGCATCCTGGAAAGCATAAATTGAAAGGAGATACATGGAATTTAGAAGAGAAGGAGAATCAAATACGTTTAATGGAGCAAAAACATTTTAGCTTGCATCATTTTGCAAACTCCAAGTTCTGTCAAGGTATTACATTAGTAAAGTAACATTATTTTAAGAAGGCATTACTGTGTGCTCTTAAATACTGTTTTTGAATGCAACATTGGGAGAAAGAAAAATGGAAAGATGATCCAGCAAACACTAATCTAGCAATGAAGAAAAAACTAGACAGCCTCAATAATATGTAAATTAGAGAACGAAACCAATCTAGAAATAAAAAGTTCAGACCCTGTTAAAATGAATTAGTATTCAAATGGAATTAATAATGTTTAAGAAGCTTATTTACAATAAGATTATCCAATAATTTTACAATTATACATGCAATTATACAAATATTAGTTAAACCCAGGTTCATTTCAATTTCCATGTTTTGTCTCCTGAGTAAAAACATTCTCAAAACCAGGAAAAGCTGTTTAGGTGAATAATGCTCATTATAATAAAATGTCTAGAATGTTAATTTTTAACTGTAGCTACACAGCAAGCAAACTCAGGTAATCTGAATAATTTTTCTTTTATTAATAAATTGGTGGCAAAAAAACAAATAAATTGGTGGCATCCTCTTAGCTTTCAGATTTTAAAATAATAGACCGGGACTCCTCCCTTTGAGCTACTTTAAAAATGTCTGTTTTATTCTACTGTTTTTTTTTTTTTAAGATTTTATTTATTTATTTGACAGAGAGAGGGAGAGCACATGCAGGGGGAGCTGCAGGCAGAGGGAGAGGGAGAAACAGGCTCCCCGTGGAGCAGGGAGCCCAAAGGGGGGCTTGATCCCAGGAACCTGAGATTGTGACCTGAGTCGAAGGCAGACGCTTACTCGACAGAGCCACCCAGCACCCCATTGTACTGTTTGTATTCGCAGGGTATACATATGTCCCCTAAAAACAGTAACTGTTTATTGAGCACCTAATATTGGGTCTAACACTGTTCTGGGTTCTCAGATGGTGATGAGAAAAACAGCAATAAAAAAACAAAGTTTCTGCTCTTATGGAATTTATATTGACATCATAAATAAATGAATAGATATCTAATATATGAAGTAAAAATAAGTACAATGAAGGGAGAGCAGAATAGATCGTAACAGTAGTAAGGGAATGCATTTCCTTTGAAATGGCATGTAAGCAAAGACATAAAAGAAGTAATGGAGTTAGCTGTGAGGCTCCATGGATAGAAAGCAGCTGGCAGAGAAAATAGCAAGTACAAAAGTCTTCAGGGTTGTAAGCTCCAGGAACAACGTGGAAGCCAATGTGGCTAGTGCAGTATGTTGGTTGTGGGGTAGGATGGTGTTGAAAGTAGGTAAGGCTGAAGAAGGAGTAGGGAACCACAGCATGTAGAAGGCATGGAGAAGGCTAATGCGTGGATTTGGAACTTTCCTTTCAGTTAGACAAGAAGGGTTTTGTGCAGAGGCTGACATGACTTGACTTAAAACTACTCCTCTGACTTCGATGTGAAGAATAGCTTGGGATGCCAGCAAGAAAACAGGGAAGCCAGTAGGAAAATATCATACTAATACTGGCAAGCAGTAAGAGTGTCTGGACTAGGGTGGTGTTGCTGAAGCTGGTGAGAAGGCATCTGTTTGAGGTGTTTTCAAGGTAGGGATTATAGGACTTGCTGGTATAATAGATGGCATGTGAGAGAATGAGAGGGGTCACAGACAAGTCCAAACGTGGAGGTTGAGAAAATGGAAGAATGGAGATGCTCATTTATGAAAATGGGGAGGACTGTGGGAGGGTTCTGGGGTTTGTGTAAATCCATAGGTTTGGGGTATGTTAACACTGTGGTTGCTTATTAGATATCCAAATGCAGATGTCTAGAGCAGTTGGACATAGGATACTGCAGTTTGGTTCAGGGATTGATCCAAGCCAGATATATGAATTTGAGAGTCATTAGGGAGTGGATTATATTTAAAGACAGTATGAGGTCATCTAGGGAACAAATAGAGAGTTGGGTTTTTGAGCCAAACATTCAGGGACTGCAGCATCAAAGAAGGGAAGATGAAAGATCAGAGAACATTGTGGAGGAGTAGACAGGGAAGTGGGAAGAAAATCCAGAGTCTAGTGCACCAGGGGCTAAGGGAAGGAAGTACTGCAAGAGGAGGGCAGGATCAACTACACAAAACTTGCTGATAGGCTCAGTGAGAGCTAAGAAAAGATCAAGTCATGGGTAATTTCTTTTAGAGAAATTTTGATAGATTAGTGGCTAGGAAACTGTTGGAATGCATGTAAGAATGAATAAGAATAGAAGTGTACAGGGGGTGCCTGGCTAGCTCAGTTGGTAGAGCATGTGACTCTTGATCTCAGGGTTGTGAGTTCAAGCCCCACACTGGGTATAGAGATTACTTAAAAATAAAATCTTTAAAAAAAACCAGACATGTACACAATTATAGGAAAGTTTTTTGAGGTGCTTTACTAAAGAGGTGATCAGAAACCTGGGCGGGTAACTAGAAAAGATTTTGAAGTGATCAG